TTTAGGGGTTTAGGGTTTAAGGTGGGATGTCATGGCCGTCAGCGGCATCAAGCCCAACCGGATCACCTACAACATCCTCATCAGCTCCTGTGCCAAAGAGAGAGAGAGAGAGAGGCAAGGGGGGCTACTACCCTTGTCCCTAGCCCTGACGAAAGAAAGAGAGAGAGAGAGAGAGCGAGAGAGTGACCGAACGCAAGATGTCCTGCGATTTGAGTGAGCAAGCGCTAGCCTGTCCTTGAACAATTCAGCGTCGGTGTGACAGCGAGGTTGGGGATGGGCGAGTGTGTAGGTAGGTTGGCGTGATGGCAGTTTCGTCACGGTCCAATCTGCGCTGGCCACAGACCCGCGATGCAGCTGCTGCAGAGAAGTGGATGCTGCGCATGATCGAGCAAGGCCAGTGGAAAGGGAAAGCAACAAGTGCCTCACTGCGCAGACAGTTTTCACCAAGGCATCAAGCCCTGCACGGTGTCCTTCACGGCCGTCATCAGCGCCTTCGCCAAAGTCGGAGAATCTTGTCTGAACTTCTCTGAGGTGCATACGCCGAGTCCAGCCACTTAATGTCGTGACCCGAGACATCCCCCCGTCCACAAACACAGGATCTGAAGTCTGCGGAGAGGTGGTTCTACCGCATTGAGGCACAACGATGCCTTGTCGGTTCAGCGGTGCAGACCTGACCCGTGGTTGTACGCAGGAATCCGGTGAGGCCCGACGGGACCTTTCTCGGGCTCTCCAGGCCAGGCTGGGACTTGGGGCTGCCTTTCAGGTCGCCGACTCGGTGGTCTTCAACAGCATGATCAACGCGTGTCCGGACTCCCGCAAAACTCGCGTTGAAGGGTTTCGTTTGCTGCTTTGGGACCTTGCGGTTTCTTCGAGCTTTTGGTCCCTGGTTCGTCTTCCCAGGTGCCAAAGCGGGAGACATTGAAAGCGCCGACCATTGGCTTGAGCGCATGTTGCAGGACAGGAGTTGCCGCCTTGCGGGAGCCGATAGTGGTATCATACATTACCGTGTCATTCAGTATATTACACACAGACTGTTAGTATAACTACAATCTACCCTCACCCCAAACCCGACGCCCTGTATCCACTGTAGCCTGACGTCAGGCCGGCGTGAAGCCTGATGACAAGACGTACAACAGCGGCATCCTCAGAAAGCCAAGCGCGAAGCTGATGTCATCCCTAAGCCCCTCAAACCCCCAAACCCAGAAAACTGAACAACCCCTAAAGCCCGAAGCCCTTAAGCCCCTAAAACCCGAATCCCTAAACCCTTAAACCCTACATCCTTCAACCACATGAGTCCCGCAGTAAAGACCCTGCCCCCACAAAGCCCTGTACCCTTGTAGAAACCTTTATGGTACCTCTAAAGGAGCTCTTACAGTAACCCTGAATCCTCAACACGCTCCCAAAACCCCAGAACCCCTAAAACCCATGGCCCAAAACTCTCAAACGTTCAAATTTCGACAACGGTCCTAAATCGCCTCAACAGCCCTGAAGAACGGCTAAAGCCCTCAACAACCCCGAAGAAAGGTCTCATGCATGCCTGTGGCCGAAATGGCAATCCGGAGCGTGCCGAGCTTTGGTATGCGCACCTTGGCATCGGCTTTCAAAGGAAGCTACAAGTTTAAGGGTACAGGGTTCAGGATTGAGGGGTTTAGGATGACTGTGGGGTATAGCAGGTTTTCGGCGAATTTCCGGGAGTTAGGGCTTGGAGTGTTTGGAATTTAGGGCAAAACACTCTCGTACTGGGAGGGAGCGTGCCGGAAAGTCCGTCTGAGTCCTACGTTTTGTTCGCAGCCAGTGCAGCTCTCACCGAGGCAAATGACATCCCAAGGCTTTCGCCCGGTTCCTTGGTGCAAAGTTGGTTTTGGCCGTTTGGAACTCAGATGTGGTTATGATGCAGGACCGCATCACTTTCAGCACGATCATCAACTCCTGCGCCAAAGCTGGAGAAATTGAGAAGGCGCCTGAGAAGTATTAAACAGTGCCCCGAAGGAACATCGCAAGCTGATCATTGACCTTTTGCTTTGTGCAGTACGATATTTTCCACTCGCCGCCGCCCCTTCTGTCATCAGGTGTCCATCTCTTCTCCAGTTTCTGCGGCACTTTGCTGGCTCATGCATTTCGATCAGGTTCCATGTGTGTTGGTTTCTTCTCGGCTTCTTGGCTTCGTGCCTTCTCTTGTGCTGTCGGGGATTCATCGGCATCGTACTTCTGCGCATCAGGTTCGGAATGTGGAAGTCATGTGCCTTCTATCTCTCGCCTCCCATCATTGTCTAACCGCCGGAAGTCCTTCGTTGGAATCGTCTGTCTGAACTTTGTGCCGGCTATCACGAGACTCGGGAAGGCAGAGGAAGCCTTTTGAAGCCAGAAGCTATTCAGCTATTCGTGTGGTCGATTGCTCGGCTTGCCGTGCCAAGCTCGTCTTGCGCACCCGAAGAATAGCATGCGTAATGAAGCCGCGCGGGCATGTGAAGGCAAAAGCAAATGACGACAGTTTGGCGGTTCGCGTGGATTAGCTCAATGCCAAGAATTAGCAAAAACTGCGAATGGGGCACTGAAAGCTTGTTGACTTTAGGCCACTCCTAAACCTAGCTCAATGCCAAGAAATGGCAAAAACTGCGAATGGGGCACTGACAGCTTGTTAACTTTAGGCCACTCCTAAACCCTAAATCCTAAACCCTAAACCTTCACTGCCTTGATGTGCCATTGGAATCATGCGCTCCTTCGCTAAGAGTTTCGTTGTCAAATTCCCCTCGGGTTTTGCCTCCATTTCGGGTTTAGGGTTTTG